AGGTAACACCATCTCTTGAGCAGGCTGTGGGATAACTCTCTGTGGTGCTTCCACAAGCCTATCTCATTTCCAGTCAAAGCTGGGGCAGAACTAATGTCTTTGTGAAGTTTTGCCCAGTGGAGAAATCAGTGCAGTAGCAGCCCATCCTCTTCCTCCTTCTGCCAGTTCTCTCTCAGAACTGACACTTCCCAAACCTAGAAATTTCCCTGACCATTTAAAGTATTCAACATGTGTCTACGACAGGAAATATAGCTAATTGTGGGGAGAGCAATTCTGTGAATTTTAACTGGTGCACTAGATTTGGGAAAGAGATTTTTCCACACCAGAGCTGTTCCCCAAACAAGATTGAAAATCAGCCCAGTTATATCATAAACCTGCAGGGAGTGAGTCACACAAAAACAAGGGATGCACCTAATTAAAGATTTTATGTGCACTTTTTCCTTCATGTCAGACTCAATCATTAATGCCTTAATAACCAGTTATTTCCTTCCAGCTGACATTGAAGAAGTGAGTGCTTTCAGAAGAAAAGAGACTAAAACAACTTAGAGATGTGCAATCTACCTAGAGAAACAACTCAAAGGAGAGCAGGAGGGTAACAGAATTTAACTAAATGATATAACAGGGCTTGTAGTCAACAAATAAAGTAGGACTACTCCAATAAAACCAAAGAAATAGGGCTGATCTGGTTAATATTTTTGGTTCTTTTCTTGATTCCATGTGTGCAAACTGCCTAATCATTAGTAGAAGCTGCTAGACTGCAGAAGAAATTATCTATCATGTAAGTAAATAACAAACTTCACTTGATTGTGTAGTTAAGTTTTCCACCTTGGAAAACTATGAATTAATACCAACATGTTTTCATTTATTTCACTAGAATACTTTCCTCATACTGTGTATATCTTCTAAGAGCTTCTCTCACAGCACAGAACTGTTCTGCAAAACATGTTTAAAATCACATGTGCTATTCTTAGAATTACTGAATCAGGATGAGTACTTCATGTGAGCACAAGGCTTTCCAGACTCAGCAAAGTCACATGTTTCTCAGTAAGCTTGTTAAAATGTTCAGCTATTATTATTGCTTTGTTTTTAAAAAAATAATTTTTAAACCTCCAATATGTAAGTATAGATTGAGATTCAAACCTATTTTAAAGTTACCATTACTTTGATTACTGATTAAAGATGACAGATCATAAAATAGAAAATAATATAAATTAAGATTGTAATATAACTTTAAACCTTTAAATTTCTAGCCTGCATTCATAGAATCATAGAATAGTTAGGGTTGGAAAGGACCTTAAGATCATCAAGTTCCAACCCTCCTGCCATGGGCAGGGACACCTCACACTAAACCATCTCACCCAAGGCTCTGTCCAGCCTGGCCTTGAACACCGCCAGGGATGGAGCATTCACAACCTCCCTGGGCAACCCATTCCAGTGCCTCACCACCCTAATAGGAAAGAATTACCTCCTTATATCCAATCTAAACTTCCCCTGTTTAAGTTTTAACCCATTACCCCTTGTCCTATCACTACAGTCCCTACTGATGAGTCCCTCCCCAGCATTATTCAGACTAACTCAAGTCTACAATTTAGTCAACATACATTTTACTGTAAAGGGTTTCAGTAATAGCAATTCCTTGCTGCAACTGAAGTCTGCAGTCAACTGCAGACATCTTTAAAATATAACTCTTCAGTAAAGATGCGATCCTGGCAAGGTAAGTATTCATGTTTACAGCTGTCACTGCTTTCACAATCATTTCTTCACTTGCAAGCTTAGGCTGCACACACCTTTCTCAGACACGCAATCGACAAGATTACACACAAAATGCCTGGTTTAAATGTTGTTTTCCCATATATAATTTGGAGACAATTAAATAACTTTATAACTAACTACAGATTTTTTTTATACCAGCATTTCTACAAGCAGTTTTGTTCCTCTGTGCATCACTAACAATTACACTACTATCATTACACTGCTATTAATTAGAAGACCATAGTTTATGTTCCAATGCATCAGTGACATCGTAAAGACAAACTCAATTGCTCTTTGTTGCCCAGTTTAATGATGGGTAAACTGTGTTTACCTGTATTCTCTTCTTAGCACACCCAGTAATATTTTTCACAAGGAAGTGCTTTCCAGATTGCTGTTGTCTGGAAGTCTTTCAAATCAAATTACCTGAAACTTTTCTATAATCTATAACTTTTAAAAATGCCTTAACAGTTCAGTACAAGCAGAGAAAAGGGTAGATCTTTCCTATTGAAATCACAGCAGGACTTCTTCTTAGCAGCTTATCCAAATCTGTATCTAAAAGAACTCTCTCCTTGGCCAAAATGCTTAAGAGTATTAGAATTATTAATGTTCTCCATTCTTGGCAGATTGTGGGGTTGAAGGCTCACAGGGAGTGACCTCAGTATTTACCATTGGATTTACCACGTGTACTGGAGAGCACCTTGCTTAAAACACCACTTTTAACTCTCCTTTGGTGAAATAAGCCACAGTGTCTTTTTAAGCTTGTTTTTAAGCTATTTTTTTTAGGAGGAAAAAAGTAAACCTTTTTCACCTTCTAATCATCTAAGCCTCTTATTACTGTAATGCTCTGCACAGCGATTCTCACCATGATTGTATTTTACTTTCTTCAGACCCTGAAAGTTTCTATTAATTTTACATCCTCTCATCCTCAACTGGATCCCTAAGCACAGCTCCACATCATGCCCTTTCAGTTCCCTTTTCCCCCCAGTGGCTTTCCCTCCTGCCCCTGCATCACTTCTCATGGGTGTTATATCCTTCTCTCCCATGCTGCAGGTCCACTCTCAGTCCAGCCCACTTCTTTCACCTTTTTCTTTAATAACTTGTGTATTTTTCAAAACAATACTCCTGAAGCTAACAATATGTGATTCCCAATGGCTGTGTCTCATAGCTGAGTGAATTTTGAGCTGAATTTTACTTAAGGTTGCAGCGTTAGTCTATCCCTATTGGACACTACATACTCTACCTAAAGAGAAATGTCACCTGAGTGGCTATTTAGATAACTATTAAGGACATAGCTTTGTTCTTTTAGAGTAACAAAACAGAAGACAGCAGGTACAGAAATTCTTTAATTCCTATACAACATTTGAAATGCTTCTATGTAGCAAATTTGTTTAAGTGCATGTGTCGTGGTTTAAGCCCAGTTGGCAATTCAGCCACGCAGCCCTCGCTCACTCCCCCGCCCCCTTCCTCCCCCTGCTCCTGGAGGGATGGGGAGGAGAATCAAAAGAATGTAATTCCCACAGGCTGAGATAAGAGCAGTCCAGTAACTAAGGTATAACACAAACCACTGCTGCTACCACCAATAATAATAATGATAAAGGAAATAACAAGGGAAGAGAATACAGCCGCTCACCACCTGCCGACCAATACCCAGCCCGACCAAGCAGTGAACTAGCCCTTCTGGGTAACTCGCAGTTTACATCCTGGGCATGACATGCTGTGGGTGGAATACCTCTCTGGCTAGTTTGGGTCAGGTGTCCTGTCTCTGCTTCCTCCTGGCTTCCCCTCCTCCCTGGCAGAGCACGAGACTCAGAAAATCCTTGGTCAGACTAAACATTTGAGCAGTAATTAAAAACATCGGTGCTATCAGCGCTGTTCCCAGGCAGAAAGTCAAAACCACAGCGCTGCACTAGCTACTAAGAAGGAGAAAAATGACTGCTACTGCTGAACCCAGGACAGCATCATAAGTCCAGAAAATTTCAAGAGAAAACAACAGAGTGTTGGAAAATATTTATGTATTTTTCTTAATGAAATGATGCCATTGCAGGCTTGAGCTAAAGATGGGTCTAGGTGAAGAAGCATGAAAGTGAAGCATACTAATCAGTCTATAAACAAAAACAAGAAAGATGTAGAACTAATAGCAGGGAGATTTTAATCTTTGCTAAGCAACTGGCCAATTACTTCTTTTAGTGCAAAAAAAAAAGTTTGTATTTTTCTGTTAGTGAAGACCAAGCTCTCAAAATGGCATGGAAATGGGCTTTAAAAATGCCAAACATGTTCTGCCTTATTTGTCAAAGGTACAAATATTCTGCCTGGGAATCATGAAATCAGAGTTTTCCACAAGAAATAAGTATACAGGCAACTTACCAGTTCCCACAGGAAATTAGTTAGAATATTACTTGTAATTTTTCTTATGTACAGGTAATAATCATGTATATTAAAACATTTACTTTACAATTCATGAGATTTGGACAGTAAAGATGTTCTGAAATTGGACATACAATTTTAGAAGCTCATAAATATACATGACTAAAAAGCCATAAATAGCAACATGTCTATCCAGCTAAGAAATGTGCTACTTTTGTGGTTTTATAATCATGCATTGAAATTAGATCATCCAACTACTGGTAGCTATTGGAAAATGGAATATATATATATACACACACACACACACACACACACACACACCCCTTGAATATCAGAAATGATGGCCAATGTGCAATGTTAGCTGGTGGTCTGATTCAATACCTCTTAAAATCAGTAGAATGAACTAAAAGGAAAAAGCAGGTTTGGATTATTATTATGACAAGCCAGTCAAATTACAAGGTAGAGTTGATTTTGAATTGTTGTACCCTAGAACTCACGTTACATATACAGTGGCATATAAACATGCTTGAACATACTGAAGGTTTGTGATTTCAAGTAGTTCTACCTATGTACTAAGAAGAAAAATATACAAACGTTTTTAGAGATTTCCCAAGAAAACAAGCCAGTGTTCATGGACCTCCATCCCAAAATATTGCAATTCTGGTGGTATTTCTATGAGGCTTTTTAGAATATTAAATGTTAAAAGATATAAATTTAAAAAAGAAAAAAAACATGTAGCCAGAAAAATTCTCAAAATTTCAACTAGAATGCACCCTTGAAAAATGCTATTTAACAAGCTCTTAGGTTTTGTTATCAAATGAGACATTTTAGCTGCTTCAGAAAGAAAAACAACTTGAAAAATCTCATATTCCCCCCCTTTTTTTTTTAATTTATTTATAGATCTAATTCCAGACTGACTGAAGATGTCTAACAAGAAGTGAAGATTTCTATGCCCAGTGTTCCTGACAACACAGAGAGGAGGAAGTCTCTGCTACCTGTGTCACCCACTTCCTAACTAGAGCCTCAGGCACCTCAGTCACTTCAGCCATCAACAGAGTAACAGTACACGTGCGGTAAGTTCACTGAACCTGAAGTAGCCACAATAAAATCTTCACATATAGGTAAGTGTTTTAGATTCCATTAGTTTTTAATTTTGCTTGTAAGAATAAACAGACACAATATTATTATTAATGCCTTTTAAAAATCAAACATAAATTTTACTGTGAGTATACACTAATAATTTTGTCACTTTCTTTTCTCAAGTAATGCATATATACAAACCTGTCACAAACCCCTGCAATTCACCACGCAGCAATGGAAACTATGAGCAGCAGAGTCTCAACAGAGAACAGCTTTTCTTTTTGATTTTGCAATTGTTTCCGAGAAGCAACAAGGATAAATTCCCCTACTGTGTTTCTCTGCTGGCACGTACCCATTTTCTTTTCTGCACCTTTTACATATGTAAAAAGGTATATTTTACATATACACTTCTTCAGTGCAGAATTCCTTTCACAGTACACGAAGAATGCTTATCCAGGGCAAAAGTCAGCAAGATGACCCTATGGCTTGTTTTAGAAATCAAGCTAAAGAGGTATAAATCGGGGGAAAAAAAAAAAGAGGCATCAATGTCATCTTAGCAGGCAGTTCCTACCTATGCTGCTCTCTACTTGGTTCCTGTATGATTTTTATTGCTCATAAATTCTACCAAATTCTTAATTCCTGACTGTATGTTGGTATGGACTTACTGCCTGGAACACCTTTGAGACTGCACACAAGTATAGCTCTATGCAGGCAGGGTTTTCTTTTTTCAGGTAATGTTGAAACCTCTTAAGGCAATGCCTTTGAATCCCTGGATCAACTGAAATTCTTGTTGAGACTCTGCTAAGATTCTCACTAGAGCTAGGAATTTAACCAGACACTGTGAGTCTCTAAAGCACTGTACTTGATAGACAAATTATTTAAACAGTAACCCATCTCCTCCAGAGTTTTCTGCTGTTGCTTTATGTTCAGTTTAAGCTCACATGCATGATATCACTGCTGAAAGGGGGGGTCTACCAACTCCCATATTATCTGTATATTGCTGCCTTATATAACTGGTCCAAGCATACAGGCAACTGAATGATAAACCAGGATGAGCTGCGACAGCTGAAAAGAGACCTGGGAGAGGGTGGGAGTTTCATCAAGGAATATATCTGCTTTTGCCAGTAGAATGAAGGGGTTAGTCTGGAGTGGGAATTAAGTGGCATCACATCACCAGGTTTTAAGACTTCATTGTTGTGTTATACCCCAAACTTTTCCTTCTATGTTTTACTTCTCCCTTTACTCCATGATTCAATAGCTCCCTCCTCCAGTGTTTCTGTCTGTAGAAATTATAATTAAGAAAACACATACAGAAATAACCAACTTGTGAACTTCCATTTCTCAGCAACTCACTGTTCTCAGTGCTTTTCATTCTTTGAATCTCTTCCTGACGAGATACAATGCTAGAGCATGCAGCCTGCTGTATCTTGCAAAAATGTTCGAGTTAGAACTAGGGCCATGTAAAGGTCTTAGGAAAATCCTGCAAGGCACAGAAAAAATACTCTGAGCAGTGTGACACTAAGGCCATGTACCAGCATCCCAGGAGACTTTGGTTCCAGTTTCTCTTCTAAATTAGGCAGAACATGAAGCTGAACCTGCACTTAGCACGTCAGGCAAGCGCTATAAACCTATGCTCCCTTCTGCCTGGAAGAAAGATGGGTCTTGCTGTTTTCTTTCAGTGTTCCCCACTAGGGAACTTTTGATGAAACTAATATATTGCCACAAAAGCTTTTTAGCTTAAATGTATTTTTCATTTCTGATGAAAAGCCACTCAGGGGAAAAAAAAAAAAAAAAAAAAAAAGAGAAATACCACCTTGTTCTAAAAAAAAACAAACCCCCCCCCCAAAAAAAAAAAAACAACCGAGGGGATGCTGTTTATTGCTTGGGCTTGATAAAGCCTGGCTCATACAGAGGTGGAAAAAAAATTAACACCCAGAGTGTTTTCATATTTCACAGGGAAAGAGAATTTTATTCCCTACAGCAGCAGCATCCCCTGCTCCATTTTAGCTGGAGCAAAGGAGAAGGGAAAAAAAAAAGAAAAGGGGAAATGAAGAAGACAAAAAAACCTCATCTTATTCTGGTATTGAAACAGATACAGGAAACATGTGGGGGACCAGCTCATCAGGAAGAAAGATTTCCACCCACACTGCTTCACACAGGTCAGCTCAGTGAGCGCACAGTGCAGCCTGTGTAATGGAAAATAACACAGCCGCAGAACAGCCAGGGCTTGTGCTGGAGAAGTGAGGAAGGGATGGGAGAGGAACTGCAAAGTATGTGGGGAAGGTGGATGACACTCAAGGTTTCTGTCTACTGACAGAGGCAGCAATTTGGCTAATGTCTCTTCTAGCACTGTTTCATAAGGCCCTTGGGAAGGATATCTTCAATAGGCTCCGGGTTTTTGTAAGTCCATGGTGCGATCTAGCTCATGGGTGCCTTTCCTGAATGGTTAAATCAATTATACCATCATATTTACCATTCTGAGGAAGTATTTTATGTTTTCCTGAGGCTCTGAGATTAAGTATCTTGATAGCTAAACAGTATCTGCAGTCTGTTTTTTTTCTGAAGGAGTGCCAGACAGTGAGGGATTGTGCAGCTGAATTTCTGAGGATCAGTTAGGAAAAAAAAAAAAAATGAGAAAAAACTAATACAAGTGGAAGTAGTAGCAGGAACTATGTTACTACATGGCATTGGGAAATGGCAGTCTGACTAATGCATGAGCCATTATTAATATTAAAAAAATTGCTTAAGAAACACAAAAAGGCAATTTATGTGGAATTTTTTAAATATATGTATACAAGTTTTCTGTACAAACTAGAAACCACTTAAATTCTTAAGTGTTATAAATTATTGATTTTTAACCAAAAAGGGAACTTAATACTTGTCTATATACTTCAACCACCATTTTACAGCTTGTGCCTAAATTTAGACCTTGTGTATAGATTTACTCTTCTACTAATGCATCCTAACATCACAACCAATTCCTCAGAAAAGACAGTTTGAAGACTTCTGCAAACAGATGGCTGAATTAAATCTTTGCAGTTCTAACCTCAAAGCTTAATTGATTACAATCAAGATTAAAGCAGACATATTTCAACCCCAAGATTTATTGGCTACTGTACCAAAGATAGGCTTCTATCACGCTAAGGTCAATACTTTCTACACTTGCGAACAGCAAGGAAATACAATATAATTACACTTCAGAATTAGATGAATATCAGTAAAGAAAGGACTGTAAATCCACGTAGCTAGCAAAAAATATACTATAGGTTCAACAATTGAACAGAGAACTGAAAGCAGTACAGAAAAATTATTCTAGATTATAAATTTCATCGGATTTAGAGCAAGCATGATGCACACAGATGGGTGAGAAATAACATCACAGGATTTAAATTACTTTGTTTTTCAGTTACCTCTTAAAATAGCATCCATTTAAATATTAAAGAACATAATAATTTAGTGCATTATAAATTATTACAATGGCTTTTAGAAACCAGAGAAATGTTTAGAAGCTTTATGCTACCTGAACCTTACAGCAACAATTTTGCAACGAAGGAGTAACCTTAATCAGCAGAGAAAATTCTTTCAGGAAAAACCTACCTGAAAGCAGTTTTGAAGAATTATTTCTTTCCAGCCTCTCAGAGGTTCCCAGTGTCTTCACCTGCTCTTGGGTCTTTGCAGCAAATGACTGCAAAAAACATCTGCTTAAAATTTAAGAATTTTTGACTATCTTTTGAATACATCATTATGCACATGTAAAAAATCACCGCAATAGGGTCAAGTTGGATTGTTTTCCAGCACAGGAAAAATGGAAGATTAAGAAAAGACCCTTAAATACCAGTACAACTGAAAAAGATAGATGAAATTTAAAGATGTCAGGTTGTCTGAAATCACAAACAAAAAAAGACAAAAGCCTGTAGAAACCGCTTTCTTAAACCAGAGGCAAGATGAAAGACTGATGAAGCCTCAAGAAAAGATCTAAGAACCTGATAGTACTTTCAGGAAAGAGCAGCCATAGCTACAAACATGGGTAGAAGTCCTAAGCACAAATAAATGCTGGGTGGAGACAAGATTGAGAGCAGCTGAGAAGGACTTGGGGGTGTCGGTTGACGAGCTCAACATGAACTGGTAATGTGCTCTTGTAGTTCAGAAACCACCTGTGTCCTGGGCTGCATTAAGACGATTATGACCAGAATGTTAAAGGAGACAATCCTGCCCCTGTACTCTGCTCTCATGAGAACCCACCTGCAGTCCTGTGTCCAGCTCGGGGGGTCCCAACACAAGAGGGACATGGACCTACTTGAACAGTTCCAGAGGAGACCACAAAATCAGAAGGCTGACATATCTCTCCTATGGAGAGAGGGTGAGAGTTTTGGGCTTGTTCAGCCTGAAGAAGAGAAGGCTCTGGGGAGACCTCTAATAGCCTTCCAATACCTAAACGGGGCCTACAAGAAATCTGGAGAAGAACTTTTTACAAGGGTGTGTTGTGACATGACAAGGGGGATTGGCTTTAACCTGAAAGAGGGTTTAGATTAGATACAAGGAATAAATTCTTCACTGTAAGGATGGCGAGGCACTGGCACAGGTTGCCTGGAGAAGCTGTGGCTGCCCCATCCCTAGCAATGTTTAAGGTCAGGTTGGACAGGGCTTTGAGCAACCTGGTCTAGTAGAAAGTGTCCCTGCCCATGGCAGTGGGTTGGAACTAAATGAGATTTAAGGTCCCTTCCAACCCAACCCATTCTATGATTTCATGATTGTATGATTCCCTAGTCCAAAATAGTCAAACACAGTGCAAGAATGTCTGTCCAAAGAACATTTGAGTAATGAGAAAACAGGCTCCAAAAACTGTATGCAAGTCTCTTTATAGTGTTTCATCCATCTTCCTGTTTCTCTCAAGCTAATTAATGCAAAGAACAGTATTTCTCTCTCTTCTTTTTTTTTTCCTGACAGCTGTGTTATTTCAATTACTAGATGGCCTATAAGAGACATATTGTTAGCATTCAAGAAAGTATGTAGTCTGTTGGACCAAAAGTCATCCAAGGAGCATGTACTAGGTCAGAAGTTTATGCCATCAGTGTGCAGGAGGAGCTGTGAGAGATGGAAGAGTGTCACATAAGGAAAAATCTGAAATCAAAGAAGTCTAATGGGTTGGGGCATAAAAACTGTACATTACTGTTTCACATAACTCAATGTTTTGTTGCAATGTTAGGGATGGTGACACAAGTCAAGTCCAAGAATGACAGCAATAAGACTTTCTGGTGTGACCTATTGATAGCTCACTAAAGTAAGCAGAGTGATGTTGATTTACATCAAGTTATTGCCTGTTTTGGATAGCTCAGAGAACACAGGTGTCATTGTAGAAAGGAACATGGAAACATTATTCTGCTCACAGAAACCCAAGTTTACACTGGGATCATGTGTTTGCTGGCTGCCTCAGTGCAGTAATGCATGTAGAACAGTTACCTGTTAACTTTTGAGACAGTAATGCTGCCACAAGCCAAATACAGTGTGACAAAACCTTCAGGTTTCATGGAAAATGATCAGATTAGGTATAGCTACTATACAGACTTTTTGTCTGAGGTCACCACTAGCAGCTATTTTTGCGTTTGTGAGAGATTTAAATTCCAATGCATGATATTTAACGGTAAATTCTTAAAATTCATACATCTTTTTCACTTGTAGTTTTTATTTGGTTTGGGATTTGTTTTGATTTGTTTTGTTGTGGGGTTTTTTTAGAGACTTGCTTTGAGTATGTGAAACATCCTTTTACTATTTTCCCACTAAAGATTGTCCTTTCATAGCTATTGCTTACCTGCATTACAAAAACAAAGGCTAGCAATTGTGATTACAGTTCTTAGAGTCCCAGAACTGTGATAAAACAAACCCAGTCCCTGTCCAAAGGCATTATAAGTTGAGTAAATAACAGCAACAATGTAGATATAAATCAGTGCTTCCATAATAATCGTTAATGGTTTCTAAATTGATTTACATAAGCATATGCTTCTTTGTAGGTGGTTTTGAACTGAACTGTCTCGTAGGAGCATGTCCACCAGGAAACTGAACAGCTCAGATGTAAATGATTCAGATGTATCATCGGGAACAATAAGATCCCAATGCATTTAGTCATATTTCACTGCCTCCTACATAATTAATTTAATTTATTTGCTATACTCTCAATCCACTTCTCCATTATTACCAAAAGAAGTGGGGCTTGAAAATTACCTAAGTACACATGGACATAGAAATTATGACAGGAGAATGTACAGATACATGGTGTGGTGGGATTATTTCAGATGGCTGTGACCACCCACTTTTTTTTTATACTAGCTATCCTGGCTCTCCTCTTTATTCAATGAGTCTTTCCTAGGAGAGGAAGAAATGCCCTCTGGCATTGTCTGTATATTGGGTTTGGATCTAATAAGTCCCCCTAATTCCCGTTGGCTAAGTAGGCTGACTGCAAGTTACACTAGGCACAGAGCCTTTGGTAAAATTTAGTACACCTGAGTACAGGCCCAAAGGCTTTAAATTATTAAATTCATTCTTAGGGACCAGAAATCGTGAAGCTCAGGTTAACAAATCTCTTTGTATTCCTGGATTTGAAGGCAAGCAAATTTCATTTTCTTTTAGACAGTTCACTTGCTATTAGCATCACAAATTCTGTTCATTATTGAATATTCCAAGGCTGGGCCTTTTCCTATGTGGCACATTCTGCTCACACAGCAAATTAACCTGGGAGCTCTCTATTTTCTATTGCTCTAGGCTACATGGCAACTGAAAGTCTTAGAGGGAAGTGAGGGCCCTGAATGAAAATTATTTCCCAGTATAAAATAGGTGTTGCTTGCCATCTGAATGTGTTATTGCCAAAATAAGAACTTCCCTTGTCTCTCTTCCTTTTCTTTTTTTTTAAGGACTGCGATAAATTACTTTGACATACACCTTCATTATACTACCAAAGTACACGGTGACATAAAAAGTACACTTCTTAAAATCACAAGTAACACTACACAGAGAAGGGCTGCAAGCTCGTTGGAGGACAGGTTTACAATTCAAAATTATTTTAACAAATTAGGAAAATACTTCAGAAAAAAATAATTAGATGCCATTCGATAATGACAGCTGTAAAGTTTAATACTTGGGCTCAAGAATAAGCTGCAAAAATACTGCATAGGGAACAATTTACTAGGCAACAGTAATGCTGAAAGGAAGCTAGGAACTGTAATAGCTCACAAACTCTAAGCTATTGAAGGAAAGGAGAAGGCTAAATGGGGATGAATAAGTGGATATATTCTCTACTGGAGATGGGACAAATGCCTCCCCCTTTCAGAGCCTGGGACCACAGCATCAGCTGTAGTTCATATTGAAAAATGCACTTCAAGAAATATAAGGATAATGGTGCCCAGTATAATTTTCTTATCCCTCACTGTAGATATTTCCTTTAAAAATGTCAAGAATGTGTACACAAAATACCACTGCTAACCGTATTTGGGCATATTAGAAATATTTCTGATTTACAGTTTCCAATTGCCATTTCTAGTGTTTTCTGTTTTATTGTTTCACATTTAATGCAGAGGTGACCAAAAAAGAAATCTCTCACATCAGCCTGGAATCTGACATGGTTTTAATAAAATATGAAGTAATTGTTATTGCTGTATCCATTCTATGCATAAAATAACATTAAAAATGGATGTGTAAATACTGAAATATTTCATTCTACTTTGCTGACCTGAAATGAAATGTTTAATTTCAGCTGGCCATTAGCTGAGTTGGCCATCTCAGCCACTTCTTTGCTGCCCAGTGGGAACCACAAAACCATGCTTTTGGACAGACTTCAGTTCCCGTTACTTATTGTTGGCTCAAACAGACAAAAGCTATGTTTGGTCAGAAACAAATGATTTCCTGACAGAGAAATTTACTGACAGGCTTTTCTTTCACAGAAACTCTGGAGTTAAAGGAAAACCCATTTAGTAGAGAGAAAGCATTTGAAATTGAAGCAAAGATCCTCAAATTTTTCTCTTTAGAGGGGGAAAAATAATCCATCATGACTAAGATTACTTATCATCTGCCAGAGCTAGAGGTTTATCTTTAAATCATCATGCATGCAGAATATCCCACATGAAGCTCAGAAAACCCAGCACTGCTAGACATCCTTTTTTGGGGAAAAAAGATCCTATTCTACATATTCTCTTCATCAGCTTGCTGACTCATTAAAACAGAAAAGGTTATGTTTTGATTTTGACTCTGAGTAAAACAACATAGGTTTCAGGGATTTCCAACCCTTTTCCAGCAAGATATATATTCTGTAGCTTGAATGTGAAAGAGAGCTCTGCCATTGACTTTCAAAGGTACATTTGCAGATCAGCTTATTATAATTTGCACTGAATTATTAACGCTGAGCTGAGTGATTAATTCAAAATGTGTGCGCTGGTTCTATCAGAGCATACTGTGCTCTACAGAGCAAATGAAACCAGAGCAGATTGAGAGGGGCAGAATTTCAGCAACTTCTCTGCTGACCCCTGCAGGCACAAGCTGATTCTGTCAATTTTTACCTTTGACTACATCTATTTTGTACACTTCTTGCACAACACAGAGCTCAGGAGGAAATTAAATATGGCCTAAATCTACATTCTAATGTAATTCTAATGCGCCACATTATTTCTAGTAATAATCTTCCCCCACAGAAAGAACTGATGCATATTATCAAGCATGAATATATTTAATCATTTCAAAATGAAATGGGTTCATTGAAATATTCATTTAACTCAAAACAGTATAAGTCAGAGGAACAGATGAGGAAATAATTTTGCCAGGTTTTTCAAACAGCACAAATAGAAATTAAAGTGTTCAATAAAAACAATTACATTCACATTTCAGTTTTCAGTATCTTAAAATTTTCTTTTTAGAGTTTGACCAATCTACCCTTTTTGGGGTGTATCTGTCTCATTCGTAGCTAACGTCATCAAAGTTAGTGTTTTCCAGACTTTCTATTGCCTGGGTTTCTTTCCTGGCATCCTCTTCCTGCTTGATTAGTTGCCTCCTCCAGCCCCTCTGGGCTGCCTCCTGGGCTCTCCAGCTCTTGGAAACTTGCTGCTTCTTTCCCCCTCCTACTCCTGAGCCAACTCACTCATTCTCTTCCTCAGATTTGTACCCCTGCTTCTTACTTCCAGACCTCTGCTTTTGCCTGCATGCTCAGATGTATCTTCCACAACTACTCTACTGTTCCCTTTTTATCTACCTCCACATTTCATTTCC